TTATTCTTCAAGGGCCAGTATACCCTGTGTGACGAACTGGGACTGTTCTTGCTGGGGTGTGTGAATGCTGACAGGCGAGTGTGGCTAGGATGGTCTGCATCGGGGGAGGGGAGTCTGCCCGAGGGAACATACCTGAGCTTGTAACATGAGAACCCAGGAAGGGGTTGGAGGCCAGGTGACTCCGGGGCCCGGGAAACTGAACAAAGGCTGTGGGAGGGGTCGCTGAAGGCAGAGGGCTGGAAGCGAGCTGGGGAGATGGCTGGGAGGCAGAGATGGCTCTGACCCCCCCAAAGGGGGGTGGGCTGGGATGCCCTGGGACCCCAAGCTGGACTTAACTGAGGGGGTCCTGCTGTCTGTGCCTGCAAGACCTGTCTTGGACTGTATTCCCGTCATCCAAATAAACCTTCTGCTTTACTGGCTGGCTGAGAGTCATGGTGAATCGCAGGAAGCTGGGGGTGCAGGGCCCTGAGTCCCCCAATACTCCGTGACACCCTGTTACAGCCTCTTTTCTCCCCATTTGTAAAACAGTGATAATAATACATGTCTGTCTTTGTAAAGCATTCCGAGAGCCTCGATTTATTATTATTTTTATTTATTTCTTCACATTTATAAAAATATCTATGGGCAGCCAACCTGTGCTCCAGGTGCATAGCCCGCACATTAACATGCACAATATAATATAAAGGACTGCCCATAAATGCTCCCTTTGAAAAAACCTGAGGAGGGGAAAAGATGATAGGCACATTATTATTACAAGGTGGTTGGATTTGTTTCAATTCTATTATTGGTGGAGGCATTCTGAAAATATTGGTGACATTAAAACAATTGAATAGGGCAGTAAAGGGAAGGAGATGGCGAGTCATTCTGGGATGCAGGCATGGAGAAGCCAACCTCTCACCAGTCCGTCTGGAGCTCAGAAAGTCTCTAAAAAGCTCTTTACATTATTTTTATCCAATGACCCTAATAGAATAGGGGGATTTGAAATTCACAGAAGCCTTAATGTACTTTTGGAGGTCCTAGAAGGCCAATTTGTTCTGTTGTAAAAGACTCGCTTTTGAAAGGCATGACAGACCGCAGTGATGAATGCTTTAACTTTACAGCATTTTGATGTGTCATTTATTTGCTGTAAATTAATTGCATCTGCTGTTTTCATTTTGCTGTGGTGAATAATCAGTTTTGCTCTATTCTTAATTAGATAACACTATCGGATCGTCTACTGATTGTGGTGCTACCATTTACTCATTTATTATACTTATTCCAAAGAAGGCAATCTCAGAACTCTGTCCAGGACCCAGTATAACCTTTGAGTGACATTGGTATTCTTTTCCGATCAGTTGTAGGTATTGAAACCCTGTTGATGGAGGGAGTTTTATGCAAGGAGTGGCTAAAGGATCTGCCTAGGATTACCAAAGGTTTCACAAGCCTTGAAATCGCAATAAAGTAGTCATTTTTTCTCTTCTTCTGTGGTTTGATGACACCTTGTTGGGTAGGTAGAGGAACCAAATTGGGGGAGGAGGCGGAGATATCAAAACTACCAGACACTGGTTCAAATCTAGGCATCATCTGTTGTCACCAAAAGTCATTGATGACTACATCAACGGCTGCACAGTGGCCTCCGAAATGAGTCAGTCCGTTGACTGCAATGGGATTGTGAAGGTTGTGTATCGCTAAATCATGCAAGAACTTGATCTTTCTTGTCCACATCAAAACTGGCACCTTTGTTCATGGCTTCAGCAGTGAAGCCAAAGACTGAATCTAAATGGACTGCTGCCTTCCCTCTCCTCTTTATAGGTGGTCTCTCCATATCTAGGTGGATGCCCATTAGTGGGAGAACATGGCTTAAAATTATCACTGCTGATGCAATTGACACACTTTGACGGTGGATTGCTAATGGTCTTCAGTGTCTATTGCTGTCAGGCCAGCTGATGAGTGGGCACAGCAACCTTATCTAGAGTTTTCAAAGCAGATGAAGCAGGGACCACAAAACTACCCACTGTATTGCCAGTGTTGCCAATTATCTTCAGCAAATAGCTGATAGAATGATGAGTTCAAATGTATTTACTGTGCACCAGAACCTATGTTTTACAGTAAAGGATACTTAAATAACAACACACTTGAAAAGAATAAATCTATTAACAAGCAAACCCTCCTGGCGTGAAATTAAAAATATTGATTATCATACCTGTTAAACCATGAAATCCTCTGCAACTAATTAATCTGCTAGGGAAAACTTCATCAGTGGCATTTTTTCATCTTGAAATTCTCTAAAATGAATTTATTCTGTAGCAGTTAAATACATTAAATTTTTTTAGTTAATTTATTTAACTGCTACAGAATAAATCTGTCACATATAATATACATCTTGACTTCACCTGCACCTGAAAGTTTCCACTTATTATTTCATAGGTCCCATCACAGAATGAAATACTCGTCTGAAGTAAAAGTAGACTCAGACAGGATGGATTTCTTCACACCTTGAGGCACATGGTCTTCTAGTTATTTAATAATGATCTGATTCTACACTGTCTTCATTCATTCCTTTTAAAAAGGAATTAATTCTGTAGTTCGCAGTTCCTGAAAGTTGATCACACTTGTGTCACTAGTTGTTTTTGTTTTGTTTTTTGCAGGGTTCATGAAAGCCAGAGTTTAAAATGCTGTCACGCGGGAGCTATGTATATGCAGACATGAACACACACAGACATATAAATGCAGACACACATAAAACATAGACACAGACATGCATGCACAGACGCACAGATACCTAGACACTTATAGACATACACACAGACATTCACATAGAGAGACATTCATGCACATACACATTCATTCGTACACATACACACAGACATTTGTACCCACATTCACACAGACACCCACACATTCATACATTCACATGCAGACATTCACACACACACAGATGTTCGGACACATACGCAGAGATATGCATATACACACACAGACGTTCATACACATACACACACAGACATTCACACACACACATTTCACACACAGACACACAGACGTTCACACCTGTACACAAACAGACATTCATACACACACGGATATTCATGCACACATACATTTGTCCACATACACCCAGACACCCACGCATTCACACACAGACGTTCACACACAGAGCCGTTCAGACACAGGCACGCACACCCTGACATTCAGCCACACACATTTGTACACCTCCACACAGACATCCACACACAGAGAGAAGTTCATGCAGACACAGACATTCCTATCCACACACACAGAGAGAGAGAGACATTTAGACACACACCCGGGCTGTAGGAAAACACCCAACCGAGACAGAGTCACAGACACTAACCCCACCATATCAAAACGATACCTCCAGGAACGAATAATTGATAGACCAGCACAGTAGGCGTTGGCACACCCAGGAGCTCAGTCTCTCTCTTCCTCTCTCCTCCCCTCTCCCTTCCCTGGGCTGGTTGCGTCAGTCCCCCAGCTGCCTGACGTGCCAGGCCTGGGAGGGAGCTGTCCAGAGGCTCGTGGTGCTGAAACTGCAGCAGCGCCGGCCAGCCCCTTTTCTCCTCCTGCTGCCGCTCCAGGAGCTGTTGGGTTCCCAGACACACTTTCCACCCAGCCAACATCTTTTCTTCTCTTTCTCTTCCCAGGATGGGCTGTTGAAAGCGGTCGGCAACCTAGGCGGAGGGGAGCCAAAGGCTGGGGCAGCCTGAATGCTTGCATCTATGACCCCCTTCCTCTTTTCTTTTTTCTTAATTTTTTTTTCAGGGGGGAGGGGAGGAGAGAGACCCACGTTACGCCCCCCTCCCCTCCTCAGAATCCCCATTTGCACTGCACACAAGCCTCCTTCCCCGTTGCAGCCAAGGGAGGTAGCAACAGCAGCAGCATCACTGCAAGCCGGATGGGAGAGCTGAGAGGAGGCTGATGAGAGAGACAGCTCGATGCTGCCAACACGGTAGGAGCTGCAGGCAACATAACCCATGCATCCCCGTGTGTCTGGTGCATTGTGCTTCATCAGAGGCTATTAGACGGAGAGGAGATTTTTATTTTTATTTTTTTTGCCAGAGAGACTTGCAATGGTTGAACGTCAATGCCAGGGAGAGAGAGAACAACAGCCGGAGGAGGAGGAGAGAAGGGGAGGAAAATGAAGCTGGGTTTGGTGGTGGAGACAAGGAAGGAGCCTCGTCCTATGCATCCAAAGGAGATTCCTGCAGTTGCAGAGAGAACCTTCCTTGCCATCCTCCATACAGGCTGCCAACGCGTTTGATGACGTCCCTGTTTGGTGAAGGGGGAAAGGAAACGTGACCATGTAAGATCCACGTTTGCCTGGTCAATTACAAGCAAAGACTAGATCAGATTTCTACGGGTTTTTAGTCCAGGGCAATAACAGCTGGGCAAGTGCTAAGCGCCCCCCTTCCTCGCCAATTGCCATCTTTTTGTGTGTGATCCAGACAGCTGCTGGAGTGGAGGAGGTAAAATAAAACAAAACCAACCGCTTTGGGGGATAGACTCATTGGATGCTAATCATGTCTTTCAGGACTTTTCAGATTGATCATGAAACATTTTGAAAACAACAGCAACGTTTGAATGAGCCTGTGAGGATAGTGTTTCAAATGTAGGGTGTTTTCACACACACACACACACACACACACACACACACACACACACACACACACACACACACACACTAACAAAGTAAGTAAACGGGACGGTACGTTCGACG